AGGATTGCCTATTACCTTGTCACATATTACATGCACCTTTATCTGTGTGACAGATGGTGTCGCTGTATTACGCTCTGCCTAAGGAAAAGGAAAGTGACTGTCAGAGGTTTAACTTGTCAGTGGAGCTCATTCCAGGTAATTTCTTTGTTTTGTCTTAGTTTGTTGTCATTTTATCTGTTTGTGTGCTGGTTTTTGTTTGATTTTGTTTGCTTACTGTATCTGCTTGTCCCATTTCCCTGCTGTACATTCAAAAACAAATACATTAAATGCTAATCTAATGTTTTGTTCCTGCAGAGAAAATGGATGAAGATAAAAACATATACAAGCTGAAAATAGAGGTTATGTAAGTACAATCAAGAAGTTATAGTGAGTGTTAGCTTTACACAGAACATTTTCCAACTAGCTATGGCCCCTGCATTACTTTGCTTCTTTCCCCATTTGATTCTGTTATTCTCATCATTGTTAATTATCCTGCACTGTTATCCACCCCCATTTCAAACGTTTTCTTTAGTATTCTTTACAATAAGCTTTTACACCCATTGGAACTCATTTGAACTGCCCATTATTTGTTTTAATTATTTTGTCCATTTTCTGTACAGGTCGAAGGAGAAGAAGCACAATGCAACCATGTCAATATTGGATATTGGCTTGTTAACTGGCTTCACCGTTGACACAAATGACCTGAACTTAGTAAGAACCTTCAAAGATACACACACATACCCACATACTGTAGGAGACACAAGATGTGTTTTATGGTTTATAAAAGTTGACTATGACAATGTGTGTGTGTGTGTGTGTGTGTCTGTGTGTGTGTGTGTGTGTGTGTGTGTGTTTGTGTAGTTGTCCAGAGGACGTGCCCGCACCATTGCAAAATATGAGATGAACACAGTCCTGTCAGAAAGAGGCTCACTAATCATCTACCTGGACAAGGTAAGACAACACTCTTTCTTCCTATCCCCTTTTCTCTCTGCCTTGTTCTTAATTTCTTTATCTCCACCTCACCTTGTTGTACATCTCTCCACAGATTTCTAACACTCAACCAGAAGAGATCACTTTTAGGATCCATCAGCAGATGAAAGTGGGCGTCTTACAACCAGCTGCTGTGTCTGTCTATGAATACTATGACCGTGAGTCTCATATGCT